TTTTCAAGTTTTCAAGAAGACACACACACAAACTTTGAGCCTTATATATTAGATTTAAATATGGAACAGCTATCGTGCTTAATCAAATTCAGGGATTCTGAGAAGAAAACATCCTTTTAATTCAGCGATAAATAATGCATTTATTTTTACTTGATCTCTTTGGAAAATACATTCTTCTTAAAATCTGTTCGCAACCTCACGATATTTAATATTCCGAGAAAACAAAAAAAATAGACGTAAAAATCTTTTCAACAGAAGGAACAACAGTTATTCGCAAAAAGGCGAATTGTTTTCAGAAACTGGAAAAGTAATTAGGGGGCGCATGCGCAGTAAAAGTTATTTAATGGCGACTCGAAAGAGGTCGATTCTGAAGCACAAAGCAGATTATAAAGAACTGCAGACGTAAATGTATTTGATGTCGCTATGTTGATTATTCATCATAGAGTTTCGTTAAAATCAAACACATTCCACGGCTATACATAGAAATTATACATGCATCTGTATGTAGATATTCATGTGTGAATGCATATATTTTTGTGTATATTTGTGTAACCCCTTTTCTGAATAGAAGAAAAATTCTAATAGATTTAAGTACTGTCACTGAAAACTCATTTTTTTTTTTTTGTACATTGGCCAGCTCACAGAAAGTAACGCAATTTTTTGTGCATTGACAGGCTCCAATTATTTGAATTTTTTGTATTCATATATATTAACCAACCAGTGACGTACGAGACGCGTAGTGTTATTTGAATTGGCAGACAGTAAAATATCTTAGAATTAAATTTTGGAGGCTCAACTTCAGAATATGTTCAACAATATTTTTTCTTCCTTAAAAAGGAATATTTAAAAATATATATTAGCCAATAACCTTGAGATTAATAAACTAAATTTTAGATGTATATGTGTATACGTGTATATGTGCATATGTATGGATGTACATATATGGGCATTTATATGTGTATGTGTATATGTGTATATGTATATGGATATACATATAACTTTATGTGTGTGTATGTATATATATATAAGTATATGTGTATGTGTGGATATGCATGTAGATATGTGTGTATGTATTTCTCTATAGGTGTATATGTGTAGATATGGGAATATACATATAATTTCTGTGTAGATGTGTGTGCATGTGTATATATGGATTCATAGGTATATAGGGAGATATAGGGATGTAGATATAGATAGGGGTTAAGATATGTGTAGAGGTGTGTATGTGTATGGATTGTAAAAGAAGGACCTAATTTTCTGTTAGTAATGTTTTATCCAAATTTCTCCTCTAGGATTCTCCAATTGGAAGTGAATTTAAATAATACGGAGGTAAATTTTAAATTGGTATTTTAATTTGAATGGAAATATATTACCCTTTAATAATCATTATTGATGATAAAATTATTTAAATTGGAACAACCTTTGATAATAATTAGGTAGGTATCTAAAAACAGTCACGAGTTTAATTTATGAACAAAACTCAAACGAATAGATGTCAACTGAATAATCAACAAGAAAAAGGTATGTGTACGGATATACAGAATATTGTAAAAGAAGGCCTTCATTTTCTGTTAGTAATTTTTTATCCAATTCTCTCCTCTAATATTCTCCAATTGGAAGTGAGTTTAAATAAATAATACGGAGGCAAATTTTAAATTGATAATTTAATTTAAATTGAAATATATTACCCTTTAATAATCATTATTGATGATAAAATTATTTGAATTGGAATAACCCTTGATAATTAGGTATCTAAAAACAGTCACGAATTTAATTTATGAACAAGAATCAAACGAATAGATGTCAACTTAACAAGTTATAAGAAAAAAGTTTAGGAAAATAAAAAAGATTACTAGATATAAAATGGATTATTCTTTCAATGTACTTTCTATGAATTTTTTCCAATCGACTATTTCATAGAAAATACCCAAAACTCCAACAAACTTCAAATTAAATTCTTCGTAGATTTTTTAGACATTTAGATTTATATCAAACTTTAACCCCCAAATATACCCTTTAAAGGAATGCGAAATAACAGCGTCTAAGAATTTGAGTGAATCCTGCTCTCATGGACATGATTTATTATTTTATTGTTAACTGTATCTTCCTCCTTTAAGTCGGTCTTCTCTCTCACCCCTTACACATCTATATCTAGAGATAACATACGTTAAGTTAAGCGGCGTCTAGCCTACACAGAGTGGGGTCAAGGATAAGGAATTGAAAATGATACATCTAACTCACTCATATCTTCTCTCCCACCTCACTTACTCACTTCGTTAATTTTACATATGCTTGGTGCGATCCGTCAAAAATGTGTAAGTTTCTTTTCATTTTTCATTTCAACTTTTGGAAGTAAAGTCTGATGATCCAGAGCCCTTTAAAAGGGTTGTGGTGAAATAACTTATTACATGGAACCTTAAAGTGGTCTGTTTTTATTCAAACATATTTGCTGTGAATTTACATTGAGCTCTCTGGATATCATCCTCCTTGGGTCTACCCATACGGATTACCTAGTTTTGCATAAACTATATATATATATATATATATATATATATATATATATATATATACGTTTAAGCGGGATGTAGAGAGGGCTATTATTTGTAATCAGAAGTTGAAGCAGATATAAACGGAATAAAACACAGATCGAAATTGTTAGCTAGCTATAAATAGGCATATAGGCTTACTTCTTTCCAACCTCATTACTGATGGTCGGAGACAAAGAAACAATTATTCTTTACTCTCACCTCTCCCACGCCTCAATATATATAAATCGATAAATATAAAACACAGCCCCCCACACCATGCACACACACACACACACACACACACACACATATATATATATATATATATATATATATATATATATATATATATATAAGTTGGCATTGAAGTCAATACCCAGTAGTCTGTTTCATGCTTAAATGCAATCGTCAGTCCATATGTGTTGCGTTTTGACTCGATAAAATATATATGCTGGTCATTTTTGCATTATGTTTTGGGTGGGCAATAACGGTTAAGTTTCTAATTATTGTAGTTGCTATTGAGTGGAAATAATTGTGGATCCAAATGCAGTTTTGTGGATTTTCCATAGTGCAGTTTGTTAACATTTTACTCATTATTTATTATTGATTCTTTTTATTATTTGTTGTAGATTCTTATTACTACTTTTGTTTTATGTGTGCATTCATAGTTCGTTAATTTGTTTATTATTTACTTAATTTGTTTACTTATTGATTCAGATTAATTTATTTTATTTATTTATTTTTTACTTATTTTATTACTTGGTTTAGTTCATTTTTAGTTTTCGATTTTTAGGTAACGTAGTAAAAGTTTGTTTTTGTTTCTACATTTTGAGATTAGTTCTGATCGTTTATTTAGCAGTTTGTTTTGGTCTGGGAAATTAATCATAGATATTTTCTCCTCCAAGCAATGTTCACATTTTTGGGATTTGGTTTAAACATGAAACAGACTATCGCCACTGGGTATTGACTTCAGTGTTCACTTTTATATTTAAATACGCTATATCCCTATTATTAAGCACTTTAACCGTAAAACTACATTCTTATCATATATATATATATATATATATATAGAGAGAGAGAGAGAGAGAGAGAGAGTCTATGTCTGTGTAATTTCTCCTTATACTTTACACATTTGAAAGCAGCCTTACTTTAATAAATGTTTTTGGCACAACAATTTTGCTGATGAGGCCAGCCGCGGATAAATGAGACATTGTTCCGTTAGATGCGATTAATGAAGAACTTATTGTTGTCGAATCGGTGGAGAACGATACCTTACAGTGTAAGCGTTGTCGAGTGCTGATCGTGGATCAGGGATTAGAAAACTCATTTCATAAACCAATTCACTGGCATAACAAAGAAGTTTAAAAGGAAAATGGAAGCAAAAAGACGACGCTTATACTTAGAATCAAGAAGATACCGCTGAAACTAAATTTTGACTTCAATGTTCACTTTTATATTTACATACGCTCTATCACTGATATTGAGCACTATATCCCATAAATATAGCATGCCTTAAAACTATATTTATTTATATCTATATACCTTAAATGTATATTTCTTCACACACACACACACACATATATATATATATATATATAGTTTTAAGGGATGTTATATTTATGAGATATAGTGTTACAGGTATATGTACTAACTAATATGTATCTTTGCTCTGTATAACCACATCAAGAACTATTATGTTTACACCTCATGTATAAATTTGACGATTATTTATTTGCTTGACCGCGCATACACACCAGCATGTGCCTATACCCTTGCTTATATCAAGCTGTTTTAGTTATCTATCTTATAACTATATATATATATATATTTGAATTCTCCTGTCTATTTCGACATATGAAGCCCCAACAGTTCAGTCGAGAACGGAATCTTTAAACTACCCACATAGATTATTTGATTATAACAGCGAAGTCTTGAAGTCTTGAAGTCTTGCATAAGGCCAGACATACACTTTTCGGAAAACTGATTAAAAGAAAAATACCGTGACACGAAATCTCATAACAGCTCTCCTCATGGTTTATTGCAACACAGTTTAACGTTTTCGAAATAATGTCAAAAAACTTAGGACATCACATGTACTTAAATATGGCCGACCAAGAAAAACTGATTTTAATTCAGTGTTATCCGTCTCTTAGACTGGTTTCCAACTATTGAACTCTTAACTAGAGGATGATGGATCCCTGAATATTTCAATGAGATCAACATAAATTGAAAAAAAGTAATCATCCGGGATTTGAACTCAGCTCGCTGATTATACTTTCCACGATTAATAACCACTATGCTATACTCCCACTTGAATTCAGAGCGCCATAAGCTATAGTAACGTTGTTCAACAAGACAAATAAACGTGAAACCTGATTGACCAATGAAAATCGAACAATGCAAAAATAAAAATACCAGAATATCTTTTTCGTCATATCTCATTCTCTGATGAAGTTTTAATAAAAGTTAAACATGTTAGATTTAGAAACATTTCCTATTTGTTTTTTTATATTCATATCTATCTATCTATCTATCTATCTATCTGTGTATATGTATGTGTGTGTATGTGTGCGTGCGAACTCTCAATTAATATAGGAATGTTTTGGTGCATTTTCTATGTATTTCGTTATGTGTAAATATTAAAATATTTTGTAGAGCAGTACGTGCTTACCGCTGTGCAAACATTTGCTCTTTCTCTCTCTCTCTCTCTCTCTCTCTCTCTCTCTCTCTCTCTCTCTCTCTCTGTCTTTCTTTTCCCCATATATATATATATATATATATATATATATATATCGATATACGCATGACAAACCAAACTAGTTTTAGATTTTACAGACTGTGTGTAACTATGAGAATGTCTTCTTCCCAGAATAATATATATATATATATATATATATATATATATATATAAACTCCATAAGTACAGATGTCTTTATATACAAATAATGGCATATATGCAGATGTATATATTTGCGTGTGTGTGTGTGTGTATGTATCATCTGCATTTCTGCGCATGCGTCAAAAAAATAAATAGGTTCTGTCCAAGAGAGAATAGAAAATTTATTACAACTTCTTTTGTGTCTTGTGGGAAATCAAAAGTATGTAAATGACGGGAAATGCCAATATTTCAGAAAAATGGCAAACCCAGAACAAAAGATTGGAAGGACATTAAATCGAATAACTAAAGAACACGAAAAAAAAAAAAAAAATACAAGTCGTCAATTCTACGTTCTGTGAATCCGTCTACCCGTTTACAACCCTTTTAAATCTACGTAAATACATCATCGGGGGAGTTAGACTGGAATGAAGAACAGGACTACATGGGCGATGCTACGTTTGTGAGGACAATTTCACGCACTCTTATAGAAAAAGGGTGGATTACATATTAATACTTATATAAAAAAAGTATGAAAAACTGTTCGTCAGATAATTTGAAACAAAAAGTGAAAGATATTTTGAAAAATATACATAAAGATAACCACTATGGAATATATCTAACCATTCTAAATATATATATATATATATATATATATATATATACCATATATATATATATATATATATATATATATATATATATATACATATATAACCATTCTAAATATCGGTAGAACCGGTAATACGGACTTGATTCAAGCTGACTTTCAATCAGGAAATAGCTTCTTCCGTATGGGTGAACGAATAACCTCTTGTCAGTTGTAATTAATTGATTCATTGATTTGTTTTTGCTGAAACTTGACTAATGCATGGAATAATAATGTATCACAAAATGTACTTAGAACAAAATGTATTGAAACAAGAAAGTGTACACAATATTTACATATAGTCTTTTGTATATTCCTGGTAAGACCGTTCCTGGAGAATGTGTTGACTGAGTCGCAGTCGGGCAGAGTCTCTGGTTGAATCTCTTGATTCCTCTCCTTCTCTTCCCGGTACCAACCATATTTATATGGTCGGTACTCCACTATGCTAATTAGGTGGATCCTACCACAACAGTTTTTTACGGCTTATCAACCCTTTGAAGGTTATTTAAAGCCAAACACTAATTTGAGATTGTAACAATTTAAAAAATAATAATAATGATTTAATGATACAAGTCTTACTAATTAACCCATAGCTCGGGGAAGGAGAAGTGAATTCCTACCGTTTCCCAAGGGTATCTGCTCCTAAGTAAATATAACGAACCTGACTGGAATTGGAACGTGACTCTCCAATATCCAATTCCGAACAAGTTTCCATTATACCAACTGCTCACCCAATGTTACCGCCGCTGGTATTCCCAAGCGGTTACCCATCCATGATCGGGCTTAACTTCGCTGACCATACGAGAACCGGTGTTTCACTTGTCAGTTCTCAGACGGTATTGAGTGATATTCACAATTAACAATGAACATTCGTCATGTCCTATGCAGGGAACTTGGGCAAAATACTGTAAGCACCGTTTCCATTGTCAGTTCAGATTTGATTTTTAAAATCGATTTTGAAAAGTAGCTTACGTGATTAATAAGAACGGGACACACAACTGATGGCGATCCCGAAAGATGAAATTGAAAAATCTTTTGAAAGGTATTCTTGAACTTCGGTGTCATAACTTGTATGAACCGGAAGTATTTTGACGTTTACATCAGTTTAAAAACAACCCTCTTTAGTGTAGAATTTGGTTGGAATTGATGCTTTTCAGAAAGGTTTATGGAGATAATTCCTTAAAATTCAGCAGTTGGCTGGCTCATTTTAAAGAATATCAAAACAGAGTTGAAAATGTTGAGCGGCTCAAAGGAGATTGAAACAGGCAAGTTCGAGAGAACCTGGCTACATCAGAGAGTCGAATGTTTGGCCTGTCAAAGTCCGGCTTGGTTATGCCAGATAGTCTGGTGCTGCCCTCTTCTGACAGTTTGGTACTTGAGATCGTGTAGGTCTTTTCCTATTCCTATCGGTTCTTAATCCGTCTTCGGGGCGGGGTCAGTCGTATTCAGTCTGGTGACCACTGAGAGACCCAAGCCCTCATCCATAACAAGGAATGATTATATATATTTTACACTGGATTTCGGTGTGAAAAGTTCGTTATCAAATGTACCACTTTGACTTATTGCTTTAATAACAATAATAAAAACGAATTAACAACTAAAAAAAGAATAAAACTATCATGAAATATAATGATTTTCCAAGCGTAATTGTTCTAGCGAGACAAGCTTGTTAACCATTACACCGCCCCGAGGTGCCCAGATAGTGATTTTCCAAGCGAAGCTTAGATGTGGCACAAGGCAGTTAGTAAGAAGCGCCTAGTGAGGATCGAACTCACTACTCAGTCGTAATTGTTCTCGAGGTATCCAAATTATTAAGAAATGTATGAGAACATTTTTATTTTTGTTGTCGCTAAAATATTTGAAAGTGTTAAGGGGTCCATCCCTTTTTATACAAGTGGACTCGCCCAGTGTGTACTTGTACTGCTGCCTGTGAATACCTGGAAGTGAGAGAGTGAGAGTGTGAGGTAACCGCTTTTTAGGAGTCACAGTTGCAAGCACGAAGACTCAGAAGGAAGTCCTACTTCGATACCGAAGTTCCCAGACTGTATATATATTATTATTGCTACTAACCGCATTTCTGGATCTACTAACCGTATTACCAATTGTATTATTACGTCAATACATTTATTTGCCATATTTTATTCCTGCGTTTGTCATTCATTTGAGACCGGATTTCATCCAGGAATCCACAACAAATTGGCGACGAGCGATTCGAACTCACACGGGAAGAACAAACAACAAAATAATTTTCCCTCGTCGTGCGCAACAAATTGGCGACGAGCGATTCGAACTCACACGAGAAGAAGAAATAGAAAAATCCTCCCCTCGTCCACAACAAATTGGCGACAAAGAGTTACGAGGATTAAAAATACGCAAAATTGAGTTATCATGGAAGATTTTTAAAAGTATTTTGGTAGAACTGGTAAAATACCAAAATGATCAACAATTACAACTACAAGAAAGAACGGAAGGAAAATGGCAAAAGCAATTACTACAAACGCAGAAGGAAAATCAAGAAAGACAAATAGAGCTCCAGGAACTAATATTGAAAGTAACGGGTAACAAGCAATTAGATATTGAAAAAGAGGCAACTTTTTCGCAAGACGCAGTGTGGAATACCATAGAGATTTTCAAATATTCTCTAGATGAGGATAAAAATTTTGGAGATTACTTCAGAAGACATGAAGACATCTTTAACATCAACTGTCAAAACTGGACAGAAGCAAAAAAGCTACGTCCATTGCTTAGAAAATTAGGAACTGAAGAATATACAAAGTTCGTGGATTATATCTTGCCAAAAAAGACGAACGAATTAACATTTGACGAAGCAGTTATATGTCTTAAAGAACTCTTTAGTCCAAAAATATCACTCTTCCACAAGAGGTGGAATGCCTTAACCTGGTAAAGGGCAATAATGAGGATTATTCCACGTTTGCCGCAATCGTAAATAAACATTGCGAAGACTTCAAATTAGCGGAATTAACCCCGGACAATTTCAAGTGTCTCATCTTTGTTCAAGGGTTAGTTTCAACAAAAGATAGTGAAATGCGCAAAAGAATGCTTTCAAAATTACAAAATGAACCTGGACTCACACTACAACAATTATCGAAAGATTGCCAGAAATGTCTAAGTTTAAAGAAAGACTCGAAGGACATTGAGGAGTCAGCTGTATCTCATATACGTAAGTTAAACAAAAGTCTACGTTTTTCACCCTCCCCGGAAAGAAAACAAAAATTCTATAATAATGAAAAAAGATTCTCACTCTCCCCGGAAAGAAAACAAAAATTCTGTAATAAGTGAAAAAGTACAAAATACAGGGCATATTATGATGAAAATCGAAGCAAATATAAGCCCCCACCCCCATCAGCATGTTATCGATGTGGAGGACTACATTGTCTTGAGTGTGGAAAAATATCAGTTGATGAGATGTAAAATCGGGCGAGAATCTCTCAGCACATCTTCAAAGGGGTTAACATCCATATGCCATAATAACAGGGCACCTTGTGAGAGTCATACAACACTAGTGAACTGATTTGCATGTCGATCATACTAAAATACATATTTACTTATTTAAATCTGGTACAAGGAATGAGTTGATTAGTGAAGATCGAATAAGATTTAATTAATAAGCAGTAATGACTTCAGGACTTTTGGTCCCTTTTTCAAATCAGAAATCTGTAGATTTACAGGATTATTTTCTTTATTCTGAAATTCTTAATTCTAAAAAGAATATTTAACAAATACGAATTAACGAAACTGTTTTAGTTACAACATTTTAAAATCAGCTCATATATATTCTGCATAAAATATCAGAGTCTGAAGTGGGTGCGGTCACCGAGCAAATGCAACAGGGTTTTAAAGGTTGCTGTTTTATGCATCTGCTATTCTCATCGAAGAACAGCAAATGACTTAGACGGCGAGATATCTCTTCTAATTCCAAGCCAAAAAGAAATGTTTGGGTGCAACCTTACCCTCATCATTTGGTCTGGAATCACTCCAGGTATATTTCATTCTTTCAATTAAATTGCCAAGAAACGTTTGCTGAACTACTTTGTCTGCTCTCATCAGCCGTTTATTCACGGACAAGGACGTTTTTGTTTTGACCTTTCCTTGTTTTCAATCAAGAAAACAGAACTCAGCAACATTTCTGCAGAAGTCAGAGTTGATTGATGAGTTCCAAACATAAGTCGACTTTTTTTTTTCAGGAATGTTTTCTTTCAAATACCTTTTGTCCGTCAGACGCTGTTAAGATATAAAAACTAAAGTTTTGTTTTTCATTCACGAAGGCAAGTCATATTATTTATCTTCCACATTAACTTCCTTTCATTTTCTTTAACATTGTATCTTCAATACAACATTTTTTCTGGTTTTAACATTATGTAACCCCGCCATATAATATCTATTCTGTTATATAGCAGTAAATGCTGGGTGTTCTCATCACAGATAAAGAACAGAAATGGTGGTTCTACAAAAGAATGCAGAGAATATTATGGACAAAACATGTGTGCCATAAGGAAATCTTGAGAAAAATGGAAACCAAAAGGATACTTGTACTTAGAATCAGAAAGAAAGAAACTCTTGAAATTTCTAATGATGAAATAGGGCTTGGAGAATTTGACATTCACAGGACCTATTGAAACCAAGACGAGCAGAGGTAAACATCGAGTAACTCAGCAAACAAGTTTGTGTCAATGAATCGCAGAATAAGAACTAGACGTGATAGTAAGGAGACAAACATTACAATCGATCGCCAACGTCCTGAACGGACACGGCACATAATAAAAGAAGATTTTGATTGTTATACAGCTTTTAATTATTATACAGCTTTTCATTATTATACAGCTTTTGACAGGTTTTGACTAGTTTAATTCTTTATTTTCTTACTTTTTATCACTGCAGTTTTGGACCGATTAATTATTCAGTCATTAAACGTAAAAGTATGTGTTTTAATAACCATACTACAAGGTGATTGAAAAGTAACTCCCCATTTCATGCATTAGTGGACAGCCAGGAGTTATGACTTTTTGCTTTTTGCTTTGGGGTTCGTTAAATGAACAAGACTACTCTACCAAACAAAGACTGTGGAAGAACTTGAAAGGCGTACACAAGAAATGATGTCTTCCAGACCACAAGAGTTCCTGGTAAAATCAGTTGACGCGATACAATGCGGCTTGAGAAGCTGGTAACGAAATCTGGTGGCCACATCGAATTTTAAATAAAACCTCATGCTAAACGCTTTCCTCTCATTTCTTGAAAAAAAAATTATAGTTAATAAAGGAATTATAAGTATTTTAAAATGGAGACTTACTTTTCAATCACCCTGTAATTGTAATCTCAACTGTAAACCATTATAACTATTTTCTTTCTTTCGTTCTTTCTTAGTTTCTTGCTTCTTTTTTTTCTCTTTCTCTCTCTCCCTTCTCATTCTCTTTCTCCTTCTCTCTTTCCCCCACTCTTTACTCACTCTCTCTCTTTCTCATTATCCATCTTTCTTCTCTGTCTTACTCTTACAATCTCTCTTACCATCTCTCCTACTCTTTCTCCTTCTCTCTCCCAACTTTCTTTTGACACCTTCCTATATGATCTCAAGATTTCTCACTCGCTGGCTCTTTCTCCTTCTCTCCCAATCTTGCATTCTCTCTCATCCACTTAATCCCTCTCACTATCGCTTTCAATCAAATCTTTCTCCTTCTCTCTCACCCCTCTCTCCCTCTCAAACTCTTTCTTCACTCTCTCTCTCTCTCTCTCTCTCTCTCTCTCTCTCTGTATGTCCGTCTGTCTGTGTCTCTCCCTCCCACGTTCATTCTTGATCCGAATAGATCGATTGTTCTCAGCTACAAAAGCGATTGTTCCTTTAACCTGGTAAATATTATTGTATACGTGACGAAATCTATTTTACTAAAATAAGAAATTGATACTGAAAGTAATTCTAGATAATAATTGCAATATTTAAAAGTCAAACTTATCCATCTGAATTTCTGGGATATGGAATTATCATTCTTTACACATAGAAAAATATGAGTTCGATCCCTAGGGCGAGCAGTCTGTACTTGGACTCTTTGGAGGTAATGTGAACAATAACTGAACATTACAAAATAAGTGTTACATAATTGTTTAGCCGACTATTATTTTATAGAGGAAGTGTATTCCGCTCGGACTTCCTGAGGTTGACCTTTGGGGTCAGATAGAAGACAAAACAAGAAAGTCGATTTTGATTGGCTGAACGAGCGTGAGAATGATATAAAAGGGAAATGGTTTATAGAGAATTGGTTCTTACACGTCAAACAGACGTGTTTCTTTGCGTGTCTGAAACGGCTCCCCAGTGAGGAAGAACGATCCCCCTCACTGGATAATTAGAAAATGTAGACATCGACGACATTTATAAACTAGATAAGTTCAAATTTGCTTTGTTGATGTCTTTCATCTCTGGAGCCAGAACATTTCGCGAAAAGAAAGGAGAGGGAATACAACATTGTATTAAATTAGCGACGTTGACCTTCCAGCATGAAAGAAAAGATACATCATTATAATAATTTGGCGCAAGACCCCACCCAGAACTAGAGAGAAGATATGTAACATAAGAAGTGGACGATATATACTTTGACATGGTCAACGGAACGAGAAAAACCTACCCACGTAGATTAAATAAAGGCTTCAGTTATAAAAAAATCACTGAAAATTACACGGATCGACAAGCACCTGATGAAGGCTGGATGATACAACGGTAAGTAATATAACTCATCAAACTTTTCCCTTCATTCCCCCACAAATGTTGTTTGGTACAAAAAATGAATCGACAAGGAGTAGTGATACAGACAGTGGGCATAAATAATAAGAGAATTTTTACCTTTCGCCCGGTTTCACAACTAACCCAGTTTTTTTTTGTTTTTTTTGAACGGGAGTAGATGTTTATTCCTTTTTTTCCAAATTAGGATTGGATTTCCGGTTCCTTGAAAAGTTATTTTTATTCTGTTTCACACCCAGTAACCCGTTGCATCTTAGCGGCATTATCGCCTTGCTTTGGGTAAATTGTTTAAAAAAAAACTTGTTTCTGTATAACAAATCCAGACGTAACTAAAATGCAACCATCATCAGAATTACATTCCTCCACCTCCGAGAATCTGCAGCGTAATTAAATAATGATTAAAAGAATTCAAATATTGATATCTCCGCATAATACATCCTACCTGTGATATCAAGAGTAGGAAAAAAGAGCTGATATGTGAATAGCACTGAATAATTGTCTGGACGACCAAGAAGTCCTTACAAAATAAATTCTGATGTTTGGTCATTTTATATCGAGCCGAGAACTTTTCAACGTGAGCCACATATATATGATTGACATCTAATAAGTTTTGAAGTGTGTAAATATGTGAGAATCTTTGCACGTTTGTCTTTTGGCATCTATGAATAAATGTCCGTCTGAAATCAGTTTAAAGTCAAGTTAATTGGTAGAGTTAATTAGTTCGGAAAAAAAATGGAAACTGTCAAGATTCATCGACATTTCTTTCTTCTCTTCTTTTCTATCTTTTTTTGTAAAACCTTCCGAATTTGTTCTCCAACTTTACGTTTCTTTTAACTGACTCCACGAAAACTACGTTGCTTTCCGGTTCTAATTAACTAATTCAATCAATCACAGACACAGAAACTCGTGATTTTCATTTCGATTTCGATATTTTTTTTTTTCCTTTTTTTTATATCTTTCTTTGCTCTGCTTTTTTCTTTCGTTCGGGTCTAATTTTAACAACCTGCTTCGATAACCTGCCTTTGAAAATTCAAAAATACAAACGGCGTTGGCAGGAACCTCAGACACTTTTCACGGAATCATCATCTGATGTGATTTCCACTTTTATTAAATATAACAAAACCCCGCAAAAGTGTGAAATTCACTCTTCTTTCTGTCGTTACGAAAAAGAAAAAGAAAATAAAAGATTTCAGTCGGAAGATTCCAATGCAAACGACACATAGAAAAGAATGTGGTAGTGTCTGTATAGATTGGAAGATGGAAGTGCCAATCAGAGTCTGGTAAAAAAAACATTATAAGGATTTGAGAGCAGATATACACTCGAAGAAAGAAAGAAAGAAACAAACAGAAAAACATCAGGCAAAATCAGAACAAGAAAGAAAGAAAGAAAGAAAGAAAGAAAGAAAGAAAGAAAGAAAGAAAGAAAGAAAGAAAGAATATAAACGAAAGAAAGAAAGAATATTAACAAAAGAAAGAATTAAGAAAAAAACAGAATATAAACGAGAGAAAGAACGAAACAAAGAAACAAAGAGGCAAAGTCAGAATAAGAAAGAAAGAAAGAAAGAAAGAAAGAAAGAAAGAATATTAACGGAAGAAAGGAAGAAGAAAAGACAGAATATAAACGAGAGAAAGAAAGAGGAAAAGACAAAATATAAACGAGTGAAAGAAAGAAAGAAAGAAAGAAAGAAAGAAAGAAAAAAAGAAAGAAAGAATAAGGAATGAAAAAAGATATATTTATTATTAGTAGAAAGAAAGTAGGAAAGAGAGAAACGGAATATTAGATAGATAGATAGATAGATAGATAGATAGATAGATAGATAGATAGATAGATAGAAGGATGAATAATGTAGAATTACTGAAGTGGAAACTTAGAATATAAAACAAGAGAATGTTATAAATTAAAAGAAGGGAACGAAAAACACAATGACAAAAGAAAGAATCTCCTCCTCCCATGCCTCTCCAGACTTAATACAATGATAGCATAACTGGCTCCATGCAGATAACAGCCAAAGAAATATTAACTCCTTTTGTTATAGGCTTATTTTCAGAACCGTTTTTGTTTCTAAATCAGATTTAAGGAAGTGCTATTTCCCTCTCCGCAGACCCCAACCCCCCACCGAAGAAAAAAAAATTGTTAAATCTAATCCTATAATGTAATTCGCTTTTTAACGCTTTCTGTCGCATAGATGAAACAGGAGATAGCAGTAAGTTTTCATAGATTAGATTCAAGCACGAGTCTTCTCAGAATTATACGCCTTCATCGATTTCTTCTTTATATGGTCGAAGTTCTTTTCCCTTGTGCTGACATGGACGCCTTATCTCGTCACTACATTCACAGCCTAACAATAAATGGTTCGCTTTTAATTATGAAAGCAGACAAAAACTAAATGCATCTGCAAAAACTCTGAAAATAGGTCTACTACTGAAGACAATAAAATATCTCTCTGACTGAATCATGAAAATCGACGTAAAAAGATGAGGATATTCGTCCAAATAATTCTTGGATTAATGACAATATTTAATTAAGCTTTAAGAATTAGCCGAGTAATTAAAACACCGTGAGAAGAATCAAAATTACGGATTAGCGAGGATTTAAAATATCCACATAAAACTTTGCTCATTCGGAATTGATTCACAGACGACTTTAGCTCATGATGTATTTGGTAAGGAAAGAACGTACTAACAACGGTTTGCATGACTACGCCAAACATCAATCACAGGTGAAGATCTCTACGTGTAGTGTCTCTCGGGAGACGCGCGATTAGAACTCACCGCAGCTTCCTATATTTTATTGATCTCAACAAAACGACTATCACCTGTATTTCATTCTAATATCGTGCTTTCAAGAGCCTAAATGGAATAGCTAGGGATGTAAAAAGACTCTTGTGCGCCATTCCTTCTGCTTTGAAGATCAGCTTTCAAGGAAAGTTGATTCTTTGTGTCGCACCAGAAGGTTTTTCTCGCCTGATTCCATCCTTCAAATCTACAAATCAACCATTCGTCCTTGCATTGAATACAGCTGCCATATATGGTTTGTGCCCCGGCTGTTCAACTCGAGGTCCTCGACAAAATCCATAGACAGATATGCAATGTGATAGGTTCTGATCTGGCATCTCGTCTACAGTCGCTTTCTCACAGACGTGCTGTGGCTTCCCTCTGTCTTTTCTACAAGTATTTTCACGGCAACTGCTCTGACGAGTTACTTTCGCTGGTTCCCAAACTGCATGGATTTAAGCGTGCTACTAGGTTGACATCTCGGTCCCATCCTTTCACTGTCGAAATAGTTAAATGTAACCACCACTTCTACTGCAACAGCGTCTTCTCTCGCACTTCCCGACAGTGGAACTCCCTTCCTCTTATTTGCTTCCCTGATAGCTATAATCTTCAAATATTCAAATGTAATGTCAATCGACATCTTCTGATGACTCGATCCTGATCCCTGTCCTTCTCTTTATCCTTTCTCCAAACACCCCAACGTAACTCTCACTCTCTGTAACCCCTTGCGTTCTAATGGCACTCCCACCTTGCTTGGGGTGATATGCTTAAAAAATAAATATTCTTGTCTTTATCTGAACTCGAACACCGATCTACATTTTTTATCGTTCGCCTTGAACGTGCAATTTTTCTTCACTTTAGAGCAAAGATCCCTGACTTACGGACTTTGCCAGTAGCTGACCTCGACGCTTTACTATCTTCTTGCGTTTCTTTCTCAATGGAAATAAAGTTCTCTTCGCTAACAGACGAAGATTTGTTAACAGCATTAATAGACCCAGGTGAATTTTTAAAATACACAATAAGTATATATACGGTATGTCTACGAGGGTTACTGGTAATTTGTAGCCCTCGTTGGAAACAAGAAAAAGAGTACTGAACTGTAACGTGATATATGTCCTGCTATATGACAGTGAATACTGAACAATCTCCTCAAGAATGAAGAAGAGACTTGAAGCAGAGATGTGGTTCTATAGAAGCATGCTAATGATACCATGGACAGAACATGTGAGAAAAAAACGAGGATTTAGAGAAAATGGAAACAAAAAGGAAAGTTATCAGTATCAGATTTTCCAAGCCCTCCTTCTTTATCACGTATACAGTGTAACCCGGATATAAGAGAGTTGTCGGGACCGGAGAAGAAGTCTCTTATATCCGGGTTTCTCTTATATCCGGGTTTGGTCTATTTTATATACATTAACACAGGCTCTAATTTGGGACCAGAGAAAATCTCTCTTATATCTGGGTTTCTCTTATATCCGGGTCTCTTATATCCGGGTTACACTGCACTAGAAATTTCCACTGTCTCTTATTGATGCTAAGTATATCAGGAAGAGACAGTTGAATTTTCTAGTCTACGTAATAAGGAAGGAGGGCTTGGAAAATCTGATACTCACATGAGAGATTGGGGAAAGGGAGACAAACAAAAGCAGCGGATAACATACTTGATAGAACTACAAGGGACAGGAAGATGCGGAGGGCTGTGACTGCCTTCGTCAGGAAGTGACATGACGCATAAAAGAAAACTACTAGCCGCAGGATTAAAAACAAATTCGATCAAAGGACCGATGAATCTTCTTGTCGGGTCATCTAAACCCAAATAGGGCAGCCTGGGATCCATATCTGTGTATGTGACCAGTACGGTGATGACACGAGTAGAGGGCTTTCTAGAAAGAAATCAATGGCCAACATGGAGAGTCGCCCCCCACCCCATCCCGATGGAATCAACGATCAGGTGTCCGTGAACAAGACGAGTTGGATGAGATCGGCTGTGGTTTGGTCTGGAGAGAGATGGGCTCCGCCAGGTCTAACACATGAATAAAATCCTCACCGCCTTTCAATTCAGAGATGTGGAAATCTTCCCGGTTTTAGAACTGATGATGATGATGATGATGATGATGATGTATCATTGTCCATTTTAGTGAGAACACGTGACCAAATCTCATATATAGCATTACATTTTATTCTACTATGGACTTTATCAATTACCACGCACGCGCGTGCGTGCGTGCGTGCGTGCGTGCGTGCGTGTGTGTGTGTGTGTGTGTGCGTGCGGTTCGGAAACCTCATCTGAACGTGGACCTTGCACACTCGTCTACGATGTCTGAGAGAGACACGATCCTCTTCTCTCGAGGAATGGGTGTTTATATATCTTTGGTGTGTTTCTTTCTCACGTGTCCCTTTCCCGATGCAACTATGCTGATCACGTGGGTCTCTACTCGGTGGCCAGGAAGTCACTTATCAATTCAACCCTGAACTTCGCTTACTGACAGGATCTGAAGTGGGACACATGATACAAATAAAATCCTACCACTCCAGCCACTAACTATTAGCCAGTTATTAGCTGAAAGTTGCCTTCTTCATCATCAGTTTCAATGATATTTCGCTCAGTGAAAATCTTGACCCCTGACCCTTGCTTGAGTCACTAGAAGTGATGATATTATGGATTTGTTTCAAAGTTCGAATAACTCGACACTGTGTTCTGATTCCTCAAATAATGAAGTCTCTCAGTTCCTATGGAAATGTCCACTAGTGGAATTCCGGTCTTGTCCGATAATTACACACACCAAAGAAAAATATACTTAGAATTTTCATTTAAATGCAACAAAAATCCTGTAATTTATATTACATTTTTAACAACAGTTTTATTTACAATATCGACGTTTGGGGTGTTAAATTCACTGAAAAAATTAGTCAATCTCACAAAATCTTAAGGCCATCAAAATCGTAGCAGTTCTAGGAATTACGATTCATCAGTATTTTCTCGACAGATATTGTGGCACTTAGTGTGGTACATGTGACAAATGAGAAATATAATCCATAAACATCTAAAAAAAATAAATACTATAAAAAAATATTCATGAAGAAAGAAAGAGATTTACCAAAGTTAGCATATTCTGGTACAAGATCTCACAATTTGAGCGCTTGTTCAGGATCACTAAGGATATTTTCTAAGTGTAACTTAGATGTAGCACAAGGCCTAAAATATGGGATGCCGGGTGAGGTTTGAACTCACTATTCAGTCGTAACTGATCTAACAAGACAAGCTTATTAAACCACGTTGAAATGCCTACATTCAGAATCACAAGGATTGATAACAGACTATCGTACTACGGCAGGCGCCCTATTCTGGCACCAATTCCGAATAATAAAGAACCTATGCAATCGGAACACACTTCCTGTTTTATAGTCTGTCATATTTGCTCGATGCCAAGCACCATAATGATTTAATAGCGTCGTTATCTTTTCTTTTCTTTTTTTCTTTTTTTAGTGAAACTATATAGGGAGGGAGAAAGAGAGCTCAAGCGTAGACGGAAGAGGAAATAAGAAAAAAATGAGGGAAGGTCGGGGGGGGGTAAGAGAATGTGAAAACATTGAAGGCAACTGACGGGGACTTTAAAAGAGAAAGGGAATGAGAGACGAAGCGAGTGGAGAAAGAGAGAATTTGGAAATAAAGGTTGAAAGAAAAATGATTGAATAGAGAATGACAGAGAGATAGTGTGAGAGAGAGAGAGAGATAGTGTGAGAGAGAGAGATATAGTGTGTGTGAGAGAAAGAGAGAGATAGTGCGAGAGAGATAGTGTGAGAAAGAGAGATAGTGTGTGAGAGAAAGAGAGAGATAGTGTGAGAGAGAGAGATAGTGTGTGAGAGAGAGAGATAGTGTGAGAGAGAGATAGTGTGTGAGAGAGAAAGAGATAGTGTGAGAGAGAGAGAGAGATAGTGTGAGAGAGAGATAGTGTGTGAGAGAGAAAGAGATAGTGTGAGAGAGAGAGAGATAGTGTGAGAGAGAGATAGTTTGTGAGAGAGAGAGATAGTGTGAGAGAAAGAGAGAGATAGAGTGAGAGAGAGATAGTGAGAGAGAGAGATAGTGTGTGAGAGAGAGATAGTGTGAGAGAGAGATAGTGTGTGAGAGAGAAAGAGATAGTGTGAGAGAGAGAGAGATAGTGAGAGAGAGATAGTGTATGAGAGAGAGAGATAGTGTGTGAGAGAGAGTGTGAGAGAGAGAGAGATAGTGTGTGAAAGAGAGAGATAGTGTGAGAGAGAGAGAGTGTGAGAGAGAGAGAAATAGTGTGTGAGAGAGAGAGAGATAGTGTGTGAGAGAGAGAGTGTGTGAGAGAGAGAGAGGGTGAGAGAGAGATAGACTGAGAAGATAGTTGAGTGAGTGGCGCTGAAGGGAGAGAAAAACTAAATGAGAGATTGAGAGTGTATCAATAGAGGAATGAATGCTGAATATGGAGCAGGTCTGGGCAAATCATGTCCCGTAGGGTCGCCTGCGACGAGCCTGATGATTTTATGTGACCCGCAAGAGCACAACGATTATTATCTTTTTTTGAGGTTCATTAAAAAGAAATGCTACTTTTTTTGGTAGCATGTGGCACAGAATGGTAAAATGTATTTCAAAAAATGTGAAATACATCAAAAACTGAAGTCTTTTTACATTTAATATTTATTTTATTTCCATTAAGAAAACCAAAATAAGGTCTCAGCTATTTTAATATGCAAATTTGTCCTGCATAGATCAGCGAGTAATATGAATACTGGTCATGAAAAACTTTCTCAGTTACACAGATCTCATTAATATAAATTAATAAATCTCATTAATATTAATAAATGTGTAGATTAGTTGGCTATAGTTAAATGCAATTGACCGAAATGCCAAACAAACAGAATTGACAAAATCTCCAATAAACAATAGAAAAAGAATGATAAAAGGACAGAAATAAGAAATGAAACTAAGCAAACAATATATGCAAGACAAAAGTAATCAAACCAACAATAATGAGGCATAATGCTTACAAACTAAGAATGGTGTTAACATTCAAAACGGATACAGACAAGCGATTGCAGCGTATAGAATATGGCGTTTGAAACTGAAAAGCTGTCTATCTTATTGACTAGGAACAAATCCCAGATCATGAAAATCTTTCTCAATTACACAAATCTCTTTAATATTAATTAATAAATCTCATTAATATTAATAAATAAATTTCATTAATATTAATAAATAAATAACTGTACAAAAAAACGTGTGCGGGTAGGATTGCTATTTACGCTGTGAAAGTGAAACTCATGTTATTAATGTGGCTGGCAAGGCTGACCCTCTCCTGGCCTAAATAAAGCCCTGGACTCGTATGGCCGACTTTATCGTTCCATCAGGATTCTGTTCCTTCAAAACTGGCCCAAGTGGATGGTCGAAAATGTATGTAATCGTATCATTTCATCATTTCCGAGTTGTCCTGATTTGAATCGCTTGCATTAGTACAACTGGTAGGTGGGATGTTATAGTGAGAAGAAGGACACCATTGTGAACGCAGGGGTCAATATGAACAAGAAGCATAAATGTGTTGTCTGGGGGTTGTATTGAGTGAGATTTTTCTAAGATGATTTCTTTCGAGGAGTAATATACTTGATGGGTTTCAGTAAATGGATGGGAGAACGGTGTTTGTGAGATATAACAAAAAAAACAAAATTTATTAAGAGCTATAAGGAACAGAAAGATGCGAAGGGCCATGATCGTCTACGTCATAAAGTGACACGACACATAAAAAGAAGAAGACTACTAGCCACAGGATTAAAAAGAAAACCGATCAAAAAACGGATGGATCTTCTTGTCGGGTCATCTAGCAAAATGGGATCCATATATATATATATATATATATATATATATATATATATATATATATATATATAAAAGAAATATGTTGTAGTGGTTCCAACGAGAGAAAAGTATGTATATTAAAAAAGAAGAGAGGTGCCGCAAACGTTTTTTGGTTCTAATGTGGATTTATTTAGAAAAAAATATTAAATTTTTTTAAATAAATCCACATTACAACAAAAACGTTTATGGCGCCTCTTTTCTTTTTTTAATATATATATATATATATATATATATATATATATATATATATATATATATATAGATATAGATAGATAGTTATATGGCCAGTGCGGTGATGACACGAGCTGATGGCTTTCTACAAAAATATGTGTAATCATCGGACAAGACCAGGATTTCACCTGAGAACATTTCCACAGGAACTGAGAGGCTTAATTATTTGATAAATCAGAACACAGTGTCGAGTGATTTCTTATCGAACTTCAGAACGAATCCATAACATCATCCTTTACAGTGACATTCTACTACATCTGTGAGACGCTGCAGTTAATATAAGCATAAATGTTTTGTCTGGAAATTCTATTGAGTGACATTTTACTAAGATGATTTCTTTCGGGGAGTTAACAAAGCAAAATCATTCTCAGCTGCCCAAATCTGCTTTAATAAATGCATTTAATATTAAACTGTTTTCTCATATATTTCTGCAGCCTGTTCACAAAAAAGCGTCTGCTAAGCAAATAAATGTACAAATTATCTGCGCACGTAGGATTGTTATTTACGCTGTCGATGTGAAATTTGTGTTGTTATTGTGATGCGACGCACTTTACACAAAAGGTTTTCCAACCTTAGAACAGCGAAACGAAGACGGAGAGAGCGTAAAGAACGAGTTCACAGCGTATACATCTCAGGAAAGTTGAGATGCGAAAGGATGAAAACTACGACCTCTGCAAGCGTCTGTGGCTACAATTGGAATCAGAAGCAACTTTGTAATTAGAAAACATTAATTAATCGCCAAGAAAGCCTTTCGTTCCGATGAGTGTTTGACCTTTCTGATAAAAGTTGATTTTATTTACGTCGGTTTAACGTATTTCTCTAGTTTCTAAAATCCGTAAAGGCAGCTGGACAGATTTGTTGGAAAAGATCTTTGCCGATGATCTTTAGCTAAATATCTCCATGTATATCAAATTTTCAACCTATCAACTTTCTCATATCAATGATTTCGAACGAATGAAGCATGTAGGTCTTAGCGAGGACCATCCTCTCTCTAACCTCTTAGACAGACGCTACAAAATCACAGAGATCTATACCAACTAACAGAAACTACATCATTTGAGTTCTTTCAACAACAGCAGCAATTAAAATAGGTATCACAAGTAAGTCGAAGAGGAAATAATAACATAAACAAGACATATATATATATATATATATATATAAGTGAACATTGAAGTCAACACTCAGAGGCGACAGGCTGTTTCATGCGAGACGCAATCGTCCTGTCTAGCATGAAACAGCCTGTCGCCTCTGAGTGTTGACTTCAATGTTCACTTTTATATTTATATTTACATACGCTCTGTCCTTGATATTGAGCATTTTATCCCGTAAATATAGCATACCCTAAAAACTATATTTCTTCATATATATATATATATATATATATATATATATATATATAGAATTTAATTTAAGTTAAGTTCACTTTTATATTTATATTTACATACGCTCTTTTCTCTGATATTGAGCACTTTATCCCGTAAATATAGCACAGCTTAAAAAACTATATTTCTTCATATATATATATATATATATATATATATATATATATAAAATTAAATTTAATTTTTTTTTCCAGTATCTTTTTCTGTTTTGTAAGAGTAGGAGGGTACAAAGATTTTCCATAGTTTTCATTGTCCTAAACGCTTTCGGCCACTTTTTTAAATATCCTTTGAATAAGGTGAAGCTAACAGTAGAAGAGAAATGTCTTATATACAAAGCCTCTCTAATAGCGAGGTGTTTCCGGCAATGTAATTCATATATAGAATTTTAGTGTTTTCGACAAGAAATTTTCTTAAGAGTTCTTGTAAATTGAGGATTGATAGATATTTTGTTATGGCTCTTTGATCTAAGTGAATCGTGAAGCGTCTACTCAAGGATATGTTCGATATAGGTAATTGCTCTGTGACAAGAAACACAGTCTTGTACTGGCCAGTGACATTGATACACTATATTAGTCATCACTAGTTTCGTTTTGATCAGCTTATTTGGAGTAGTGATAACAAGGTTTGTCGTTTGCCATTTTCTGTAATATATTATGTTTTAAATGTTTTTTCGGGAATTACAGCAGAAATATAGAGTTTAACGGTTCTTCGTATAACCGAAATAATAAAAGAAAACGGAAAAACGTAATAAAAAAGTAATTAAATTGTATGCTATACTTAATGAAAGGTGTTTAAAAGAAAACTTACTGCCCATACAAACACACACACAATAAATATATATATATATATATATATATATATATATATATTATAAATTAATTGATTTAAAATATGGTTTTTTTTTCGCTACACAGTTCCAATCATGTTTCAAAAATAGAAGCTAAAAACCCCGAATTTAATTTTGCAATTAAATTAAAAGCATTAGTTCCATTTCATCTTCAAGCGAATTTTTTTTACATTGAGCACTATTTTGTAAAATAAAAATATCTATAAGAACACCGGATTTTATATCTTACTGTTCTTTCTTTTTTTTTATATATATATATATATATATATATATATATATATATATATATATATATATATATATATATATATCCTCCATCATGCTTCTGCATAGAATCCTTTTATTTATTATCTGAGAACTGTGATGTATCATGCAATCGATGGACCTACATCGGGAGGCCTGTATCAATCGTGAAAATCTCTCCAAAATATTCGTTCTTAAAATCAAACCAATATATATTTATATGCGTGTGTGTAAACCAAAGCAAATGCTGTGTTTATTGACTTACAAGCAAAATGAATGTTTACAATGATAAAGCATTATGGTTTATTGACTTGCAAAGAATATTGTCGATTTATATTAAATATTAAATGAAATGCATTGGATCGTAAAAAAACAAGACGTTATAGGAAGTTAAAAAATAAGTACATTTTTGGGGACACGAAATAAATAAATATATATATATATATATATTTACGACCAGTTTCTTATAACATTTCACCATTCTTGACAGATCTTCTATTATCACAATGTGGAATATTTAATAACAAAAGTGATTGAAACAAAAAGAATCTAAATAAAATTAGCGAGATTATAGACCCCAAAATTTTAAATTCGAAACTTCTGTCGTTCATGTGTAGTCGCATCAACATAAACAAACCGAGCCCTAAGGAAGGAAGTGCTTCACACGACAACTTTTTACACTTTATCATATATCTTTCCTCTCAAACTGTTCTAGATATATAAAATTACATATAATTATTCCACATATATATATATATATATATATATATATATATATATATATATATATATATATATATATCATGGTCTGACGATTGGCTTTATCATGAAACAGACCGTCGCCTCAGGGTGTTGACTTCTATATCGACTTTTATATTATATCACTGATATTAAGCACTTTAACCCATAGATATAGCATACCTTAAAACATTATTTTATCCCATATATATATATATATATATATATATATATATATATAATAAATATAGCTTTAAGGTGTGCTATATTTATGGGATAAAGTGGTCAATATCTGAGATAGAGCGTATGTAAATATAAATATAAAAGTGAACATTTAAGTCAACACTCAGAGGCGACAGGCTGCTTCATGCTGGTCGCAATCATCAGCAGTCTGACGATTGCGTCCAGCATGAAACAGCCTGTCGCCTCTGAGTATTGACTTCAATGTTCACTTTTATATATATATATATATATATATATATATATATATATATATATATATATATATATAGTGTATTTAGCCAGTAAATTTCATTTATACAAATTTCGTTATAGTATTCATATATACATGTTTCCTTAAACAACAATGAATGTTCTTTGCTAAGGACTTTTTGTTTATTCTTTTCTATATTTTGGGCAATTTAAAACATCTTTCCAAACTTACATTGTTCTCGTAAACTTGTATGTAGTGGTTGACGATAAGCAAAAAGTACACAAGTTTGATTAAAGATGATAGCCATAGAAAAAGTCGTGTTTAATTTTTATCTAACTCTATTTGTTTACATATAAGAAAACACAGTGAATGTAAATACTGTCCTTACATTTTAGAACTCGTGTTTTTGTTTATACCTCTAGTCATAATCAAGTTCAAGGAGGAAAAATGGATGCCATTAGTCTTTCAATTTTTAATTTCTTTTTAAATTCAGCGTTTGTTTCTTTCACTTACGATAACGACACCCACGAATCAACGAGTGACAAACAGAATTCTTCACTGGGTTAAATGTATTAATCAGCAGTTAAATATATTTTAAATTACTGTTTATAGAGGGTCTTCTTCTTCTATTTGTAACAGGGATTTTAAATGTATTTTACAACAGCTAGATATATTGTCTAAATGTATGTCCTAAAAACGCTAGATCGCAAACGTTGAGACAATATTTGCATTCACTTTATCCAGTGCTTTTTCTGTGTGCCATCATCCTCCAGAACATTGGCGATCATGGCTCTCCACTATCTTC